TAGAGACAGATAACCTCATTCAGACGACCATCCAAAACGAGTTCACCTACTGCACAGTGATCACCATTGCCCACAGGCTGCACACCATCATGGGACAGGGACAAGGTAATGGTCCTAGACAATGGGAAGATTGTAGAGTATGGCAGCCCTGAAGAACTGCTGCAAACCCCTGGACCCTTTTATTTGATGGCTAAGGAAGCTGGCACTGAGAATGTGAACAGCACAGAACTTTAGCAGAAGGCCGCAGGGGCTAGAAAAGGACTATAAGAATAATTTCTTGTTTTATTTTTTGTAAAATACAGAATACATACAAAAGTATATATAAAATGTACATTTTAAGAAGGATAAGTGAACACCCATGAACCTACTACCTAGATTAATAAATATCACCAGATGCCTGAGAAACTGCTCGATTATCTACCTCAGTCATACTTCCTTGCTACGCACCTTCCCAGGGATAACCACTGTCCTGAATTTCATGATAATTGTTCCCTTTCCTTTCATTTCTGTTTTATCACCTTTGGAAGTACATATCTTTAAACAACGTGTGCCCTTTTTTACTTATGTAAATAGACCGACTCATCCACATCTTCTATGACTTGATTCTTTTGTTCAATATTATATTTGAGTTTTATCCATTAAAAAAAAAAAGATTGCCCAGGTTCTCAGAAATTTGCCCGTTACACGTGATAAGAAGAAGCTGAAGTCATTTTTTAACGAGTATGGACAAATAGAATCTGTACAATTTCGTTCTCTGATTCCAGCAGAGGGAACTCTGTCCAAAAAGTTGGCAGCAATAAAACGTAAAATTCATCCTGATCAGAAAAATATTAATGCCTATGTTGTGTTTAAGGATGAGAGTGCTGCCACACAAGCATTGAACAGAAATGGGGCCCAAACTGCAGATGGATTTCGTATTAGAGTTGATCTTGCATCTGAGACCTCATCTAGAGACAAGAGATCAGTTTTTGTAGGAAATCTCCCTTACAAAGTTGAAGAATCTGCTGTTGAGAAGCACTTCCTCGACTGTGGAAGTATCATGGATGTGAGGATTGTGAGAGACCAAGTTACAGGCATTGGCAAGGGGTTTGGCTGTGTGCTCTTTGAGAATACAGATTCTGTTCATCTTGCTCTGAAATTAAATAATTCTGAACTAATGGGAAGAAAACTCAGAGTCATGCGTTCTGTTAATAAAGAAAAGTTAAAACAACAAAATTCAGATCCACGATTAAAGAATGTCGGTAAACCTAAGAAGGGACTTAATTTTACTTCTAAAAATGCAGAAGGACATTCTAAAAGCTTATTTATGGGAGAGAAAGCTGTTCTCATTAAAAAGAAGAAGAAAG